TGTTGCTGTGTGGGTGATTTGGAGGAGTCTGGACAGTCCCTGAGTTGACTGGTTTGTTTTTTTTTTTCTCTTTTTGCAGAGGCAGAAAACAACCTATTCCATGTACCCGAAGGCTGAGCCCACACCCGTCACGTCGTCGGCCCCCCCGGTCAGCACGCTCTATTCCCCACCCGTGGTACGTTTTTGGGACAGCAAGTGGCTGGACACGGCCCAGTCTGCCCTGCTTGGGTCAGAGTTTATCCCCATTTTGAGAGAAAAGATTTGCCCTGTTCAGTTCCTTCCTCTTTCATGGCACTGCTGTGTTTTCAGCAAGAAGGTCTCTACTCGGCTGACATTTTGGTGCCTCCACTGCTACCCGTAGCTGCAGCTTGTGTCTGGCTGAAGGAGACAGTTGTCCCCTTCCAGTTACTCACTGGTGCTCAGCACTGGTGGTCGTGAAGGACATCTGTGTGGGAGCTGCATGTCTCTGGGTTCTCTGAACCGTGTTTCCCTGTTTGTCTCTTTCCAGAATTCCTCTGCTCCCCTGGCTGAGGACATCGACCCAGAGGTAAGGATTCAGGCATTACTGGCCCACAGCACAGGCCTGCTCCCAGTGGGACTGCCGTGCTCATCTTCCTTCTCTTCCTGGCAGCTGGCTCGGTACCTGAACCGCAACTACTGGGAGAAAAAGCAAGAGGAGGTTCGCAAGAGCCCTACGCCGTCAGCGCCTCTGTCCCTCACAGAGCCAGCTGCTCAGCCTGGGGACACCCACCCTGCCCCGCTCGGCGTCGTGGAGGTAAAAGGGGGCCTGGACCTGTGTCTGGCAGCTTCTGAGGGATGGGAAGTGCCCGTCCTCTCTGTGCAGCCCAGCCAGGCAGCTCTGCAGGCTCTCGGCATGGGAGATTGAGGCTGAGCGGCTGCCCTCTCCCTCCAGCAGCAGTACCAGAACGGCGAGTCCGAGGAGAACCACGAGCAGTTCCTGAAGGCGCTGCAGAACGCGGTCACCACCTTTGTCAACCGCATGAAGAGCAACCACATGCGGGGCCGCAGCATCACCAACGACTCCGCTGTATTGTCCCTCTTCCAGTCCATCAACAACATGCACCCGCAGCTGCTGGAGCTGCTCAACCAGCTGGACGAGCGCAGGCGTACGTGGGAGCTGTGGGAGGGCATCCTGGGGAGCAGTGGGTGCCGGGGTTTGGTATTCCTGTGACACAGCCTCTCTGGAGAGGAGCCAGCCCAGTTGGCAGGGGTGGTGGAAGTGCTCTGCCCCAAGAGGATCCCCGAGGCAGTCGTGGAATGGTTTGGGTTGGAAGGGACCTTAAAGACCATCCAGTTCCACCCCCTGCCCTGGGCAGGGACACCTCCCACCAGGTTGCTCCAAGCCCCCTCCAACCTGGCCTTGAACCCCTCCAGGGATGGGGCAGCCACAGCTTCTCTGGGCAACCTGGGCCAGGCTCTCACCACCCTCACAGCAAAGAAGTTCTTCCCGGGGTCTCATCTCAATCTCCCCTCTTTCAGTTTAAAACTGCCCCCCCTCATCCTCTTGCTCCACTTCCTGATTAGAGTCCCTCTCCTTCCCTCCCCAGTGTACTACGAAGGCCTGCAGGACAAACTGGCCCAGATCCGGGATGCCCGTGGGGCTCTGAACGCGCTGCGGGAGGAGCACCGGGAGAAGCTGCGCCGTGCGGCAGAGGAGGCAGAGCGCCAGCGCCAGATCCAGCTGGCCCAGAAGCTGGAGATCATGAGGCAGAAGAAGCAGGTGAGGCAGGACAGCGTTCCTGGGTTGTCCGGGACCACATCAGGGTTCACCCACACCTTGGGACAGCCGCCCGGGTGGGAGGGCATGCTTCGGTGTCCTGTTCTAGCCCTCACGACCATGTTTCCTGCAGGAGTACCTGGAGATGCAGCGCCAGTTGGCCATCCAGCGGCTGCAGGAGCAGGAGAAGGAGAGACAGATGCGCCTGGAGCAGCAGAAGCAGACCATCCAGATGAGAGCCCAGATGCCAGCCTTCTCGCTGCCTTATGCCCAAGTACGGCTGCTGGCCTAAAGACCAGGGGGACATGACCCAGGGGATGTGGCTAGACCTTGCTTTTCTTCCCTCAACAGCTCCAGGCCATGCCTGCAGCCAGCGGGGTGATCTACCAGCCCTCTGGGCCCACCAGCTTCCCTGGCACCTTCAGCCCAGCGGGCTCCGTGGAGGGCTCTCCCATGCACAGCGTGTACATGAACCAGGCGGCGCAAGGGGGCACGGGGCCGTACACCGCCATGCCCGTCACGGGGACAGGTACGTGGGCCAGCTGGAGCCCTCCCGGGTAGAGGCTGAGCACACGGTGGTTCCTCAATCTCTGCCCTCTCCGCCCCAGATCCCAGCATGGTGAACGCCTACATGTACCAGCCGGCGGCAGGCAGCGGGCAAGCGGCTCAGCAGGGGCCGGCGGTGCCCACCACCACCCCGGCATACTCCTCCTACCAGCCAACTCCGACACAGGGCTACCAGGCAAGTGAGGGCAGGGCAGCTGGTGGCCACTGGGGCGTTGTGTGGGGGTGGCGAGGGGACGGATCCCTGAGCGAGCGGTGGGTCCCAGGTCTCTGGATCTGCTCCTGCTTTCCCTGTGGGGTTTGGACTGGGGTGGGAGCCAGTTCTGGGCTCCCCGTGACACAGAGGAAAGCAGACACCCTGGTTCCAGTGAAGCAGTGGGAGTGGTGCTGGTGCTGGGGCGTCCGTTTGGGACGAGCCATGGCTGCCTGCACCACCCCTCACCATCCTCCCCCCACCCTAGACCGCAGCCTCGCAGTCCCAGAGCATCCCGGCCATCTCCCAGGCCCCCCAGTCGGGCACCATGGGCTACATGGGCAGCCAGTCGGTCTCCATGGGCTACCAGCCCTACAGCATGCAGGTCAGCACTCCTGGGGGGACGAGCTGCGGGTGGGCTGCAGCACGTGGAGCCCCCCTGGACCCATGCTGCTGATGGCGGGGCAGGGGAGGGTGGCAGAGGCTGCGTGCCTCCCCCCTCCACCCTGCGGTCACTGCATGCCCCCCAGCCCCTCTGACAAGCCCCCTCACTCCCGTAGGGTCTCATGTCTGCCCTGCCCGGCCAGGAGGCCGCGCTGAGCAGTTTGCCAGCCCAGCAGTCCTACTTGCCCGGCCAGCAGCCCCTCTACCAGCAGGTGAGTGCTGCCAGATGGGGAGGTGGGGGGAGGCAAGACCCCAGCGTGGTTCGTTTACTAACGAAGCTGCCTCATCTGTTGCAGATGGCTCCGGCTGGAGGGCCCCCCCAGCAGCAGCAGCCCCCGCCGGCGCCTGCCCCCGCGCAGCAGCCCCAGGGCAGCGGCGAGGCCCAGCTCATCTCCTTCGACTGATCTCAGCCGTAAGAGGGGGGGGAGTCCCGTGTTTAACACTAACTCTTCGTCCACCATCACTTCTGTACCTCGCCTCCTCCTCCTGTGCCCCCTCTGCCCTCCCACCCCCAGCCTCTGTCCCCAGATGAGGGGACACGGGACCACAGCGTCCCTCCGGGAACCTGGTGGCAAGGTGGGGGGCAGCCCCCCAACTGCGACTGCTCCCCTCCTCACCCCGCGGGGCCGTGGGCTGGGGGGAGTCCCTGCCAGCGCCTTCTCCCTTCCCTCCCCATCCCCGTCCCCGTGGCACAGCCGCCCGCTCCCGGCGGGGAGACCGAGCACCAACGGTGATTAATAAAATATTGGGAAGGAGCCATGGTGTGATGGAGCATCGCCCGACCCCGGAGGCCGGGGGGAGGTGGGAGGAGGTTTGTTGGGCTCGTTGAGTCAAGTTGACTTCGTGTAACTCGGCTCTAGAGGGTTTTTTTTTTCTCTTCCGAAGGGAATGGCTGGTTACAACGTGCCTTTAGAATTTATATAATTAGGCAGCAGAAGCGTGGTAAGTCAGAAAGGGCAGAGGGGAGTGTTTGGGGTGTTGCTGAGGAATGGTTTGGACTTGTTGAGGGAGGAGGAGGAGGATGGTCTGGAAAAAATAAAACATTTTCAAGACAAAAGAAATAGCAGCCTTCCAATATCTGAAGGGGCTACAGGAGAGCTGGGGAGGGACACTTTGTCAGGGAGTGCAGTGACAGGACAAGGGGTAACGGTTTTAAATTGAAAGAGGGGAGATTTGGATTAGATACCAGAAAGAAATTCTTCACTCTGAGGGTGGTGAGAGCCTGGCCCAGGTTGCCCAGAGAAGCTGTGGCTGCCCCATCCCTGGAGGGGTTCAAGGCCAGGTTGGAGGGGGCTTGGAGCAACCTGGTGTGGTGGGAGGTGTCCCTGCCCAGGGCAGGGGGTGGCACTGGATGATCTTTAAGGTCCCTTCCAACTCTAACCATTCTGTGATTCTATGATTTTCTCTCTGGGGTGAGGGGACGGAGCCATCTCTTGTCCCCTGGGACAGGGGGAGCCTGTCTGTGCTCCGTGGCTGGGGCAGGAGATGGGGAGAAAGGGAAAACAGGCTCCTCGGGGGGTTTCTTGCCTGAGGTGGCTCCTGAGAAACTTCAACTTCACACCCAGAGCACCCCAAAGTTCTCTTTAACCTTTGGTAAAATAAAGTCAGGGCTGAAGAAATATTTTGCTTTTTCTGGAGCAATTCTTCGGGGAAGGAATGAAATAAAAGCTCTGTTGGTTTTGGGGGGGGTTTGGTTTTGGTTTTTTTAGTGGTGGTGGTGTTTTTTGGTTGGTTGGTTTTTGGGGGGGTGTTCTGTTTTGGGGTTTTTTTGGGTGGGCTTTTTTTTTGTTTTTGGATTTTTTTTTTGTTTGGTTTGAGGTTTTTTTGGTCGGGTTTTGTTTGTTTGATTGTTTTGTTGGGGTTTTTTTGTTTTGTTTTTTCTTTGAAACCCTCCCTTGGCCTCCTCCCAAGGGCTCCCCCAGCGGGCAGCGAGTCCTGGCGGACCCGCCGGCTAGAGCGCCTCCCCCCTCCCCTCCCCGCCTCCACCACCGAGACGCGGCGCCGGGGCCTAGAGCGGCGGGCGCGGCGCGGGGGCCGCCGGAACCATCGAGCGCGGGGGCAGAGCGCCGCCGTGTCCTCTGCGGCCGCCATGCTGCCCGCCGCCCGCGCGCTGCCGCCGCGCCTGGCCCGCCTGCCCTGGCGCTGGGCACCGGCCGGGCCTCCCGCTCTCGGCCTGCGGGCGTTGGGTACCGGTCGATCCCGGCGCTCGGAGGCTTTGGCCGGAGCGCCGCTGGACACGGCCGCCAAGGAGTACTCGCCCAAGGTGCGGCAGCTGGTGCGGGACATCGCCGGGCTGACGCTGCTGGAGGTGGCCGACCTCAACGCTCTCCTCAAGGTGGGTGGCGAGGGGCGGAACGGACCGGACAGGCCCATCCCGAACTGGACAGGCCCATCCCGGACGGGCCAGGCCTTTCCCGCCTCATCCCGGCCTGTCCCGGCCCGCGTGCCCCGTCTCACCCCCCGCCGTTCCCGTTGCTTTTCCCGCAGGAGACTCTGAAGATCCCGGACGTGGGGGTGATGCCGGCGGCGGCGGCCGCCTCCCTCCTGCCCTCCCAGGCGGCTCCGCAGGTACCGGATTCTCCGGGAGAGGGGTCGGGGGTTGGGCCCCGGCGGCTCCGTGTCCCCCGCGCGTCGGGGAGCGGGGAGGGGGAGCCCCTGGGCCTGGCCGGGCGTCTTCACCGAGCTCTGGCTGCTGCTTCCAGGAGGAGGAGGATATCCCGCTCAAGAAAGAGAAAACACATTTCACCGTCCGGCTGACGGAGATGAAACCCGCTGACAAGGTGAAACTGATCAAGGAGGTGAAGAACTTCGTGCCCGGCGTGAACCTGGTGCAGGTGAGGAAGGGGCTGCCCCCGTGTTCCGGCCGTCCCCGAGTCCGGAGGGGTTCTGAAGTGCATTGCAAGTGGTGGCCTGGGTTCTCCGTTGAAAATTTGTGTGTTTGGGAGAACACTCTGCCTGTTGTGCATGCCTCCGTGCAAAGATGTGGACGAGGTGTGAAGCGGGAGTGGGTTGGGATCAGAGAATGGTTAGAGTTGGAAGGGACCTTAAAGACCATCAAGTTCCAACGGCAGGGACGCCTCCCACCAGCCCAGGTTGCTCCAAGCCCCCTCCAACCTGGCCTTGACCCCCTCCAGGGATGGGGCAGCCACAGCTTCTCTGGGCAACCTGGGCCAGGCTCTCACCACCCTCACAGCAAAGAATTTCTTTCTGGCATCTAATCTAAATCTCCCCTCTTCCACTTTAAAACTGTTATCCCTTGTCCTGTCACTCCACTCTCTGACAAAGTGTCCCTCCCCAGCTCTCCTGTACCCCCTTCAGATACTGGAAGGCTGCTATAAGCTCTCCCCAGAGCCTTCTCTTCTCCAGGCTGAACTAACAGGTTTGCCCCTGTTTGGCCTTTTTTAGAGAAGGCTGTTCCCTCCCAGCTCTCCTGTGGGATGAGCAGTTGAGCCACGAGCAGAAGTGGTGAGGTGAAAGAGGAGGCTCAGAGCAAAGACCTCAGAGTCCCCCGTGCCAGCCCCACCTTTTCCAAATCCAAAAGCTGCTCTGGGCATTCCCGCAGAACCTGGGAGCAGCCAGGATTCCTTGTTACAGCTGGATCGGGCTTGCCTTCCCCTAAAGTTTTTTTGTTTTTTTTCAAGGTTAATTTATTTCTGAATTTAGACAAGTTTCTCTAATTCACAGATCTTGTAATCCATGTGATTTTCAGAGCTCTTCTTTTCTAAGGTGATGCCTCCTCCTTTTTCCTTGGGGAAAATGGGCCTTTCACAACCCTGTGCAGCCACTGAGCTCCTGCCCTTGAGCTGTGGTGTAGGCTCAGAGCAAAGAACAGTGATACAGCTGCTGTTTGGAAGCATTTAACGTGCTTCAGTTCCCCAGTGGATGATGCTTTCAGCTCTTGAGGGTAGCAGTAGCACTTTCTATTTGTCCAGTTGCAAGGAAAAAACATTGAGCATTGTAAAATCTGCTTTTATTAGCAACCTGGGATATTGGAACGATTGCAGGAAATCTGACCTGTTGGTGTTGCTGTATTGCAAAGCAAACAGTTCGAGGCGTGAGTTTCATTGGCTCACTGGGGTAATTAACTACCTATCAGCTTGATTAGCCTGACAGTTGTTTATCCAGTATCAGTCCCAAGCAAACATTAAAATACCAAATCCCTGTAACGGACGTGGTCAGTGGATAATTGAAAGCTGCCTGGAGAATTAATGCTAAATCAGCTTGTGGGAGCTGTCAGACAAGCTGGTGATGCAGGTACATGGTTGGTAGATGCAGGTTGTTGTGGGTAAACCTGACGTGGTTATTTTGGTTAAAACCCACCCCCACAAAACAAACTGTTACGGGCGGCTGGTTCTGTCTGCAGAGGTTGTATTGACAACGTTCTGTTGTCAGTTTTATTGCCATCCAATTGAGGTGGTTTTAGTGAGATTTGCAGAGCATCTGTTGATGGCCTGTGGGGCTGTTAATGACTCCTGGTGAAGGTTTTGGGCGTTGGGTGCTGATCAGCCCTATAGGAGCAGCCACTGGATGAGATGGGCGCGTTGCCAGCCCTGGGTGGGAGTTCTCCTGCGCTCAGACCAGGATTGGGAATGTGTTCCCTCTGCCCCGTGGGTGTTACTGTTCAGGTCCAGCCTGGCTCAGGCCCTGCTCTTCCTCCTGCTGGGAGCTCTGAGCATCCGCTTCATTTGACCGGGGCTGCTTTAGAACAGAAGTTAAGAATTAGTAAACAAGGATCTTAAATGAATAACCTCGATTGTCTTGCCTGTCCTTATCACAGCAAGCCAAGAACAGGCTCCTTTCCAGATTCTGTCCTGGGCTGTGGGGAGCGGAGGCGTTCCTGCCCTGCCGAGCTCTGCCTGCACGGCTGCACCTTCCCATCCTGAGCAAAAATGGCAATTTTTTGCCACTGTGGATGCGTCGTCACTGCACCCAAAGTGAATTGAAGCAATAAAACCTCTCTGTCAGCTGTGGCTGACCTATTGGGTGCTAAATACCCGCAGTACCCCACGGCAGAGAGCTGGCAGCGGCTCCTCACTGTAGGAAACCCACCCTGGGGTTTGTTTTTAAGGAGCTGAAATGGTTTGTTGGTGCTGCTTTGTGTAAGAGCATCTGACTGCAGCAGGGGCTTCTCCTGCCCTCCCATCCCTCTCTGCACAGCAGGGAGTCCCTTTAAATCAGCTCAACAGCTTTTCAGCTCAACTTAAATATTGTGGTACTGCATAGTACCCATAGTTTTGTATAAAAAGTCCTGAAAACACCAAGATTGTGTTGTCAAGCAGAGTCTGTACCGGAACTCTGTTTTTTTTTTCTTTTTAACCCAGTCCAGCAGATTCCTGCACAGCTCTGTACAACCCCTGACGGCCTCTCCTCCCCGCTGGTGGAAATATGTGAAACAAAACATTCACAGGAAAAAAATAGTCCAACCTAGTGCAGACCAGTAGCTGCCTCGGTGGGTCACTGCGTGGTGGCTCTGCCTGTGTCCCAGGCACCTTCTCAGGCTGGGGTGGCACATTGGGGAGTACTGTGCACGTGGAGGAAGGAATTTATGGGCCATTACTCACTGGAAAAGGTCTTCTAGGGTTGACGAGGATGCACAGTCGGGTTTAGATGACTTTCCAGCAGGATGTGCTGTAGCTCAAGCAAAAGTGTGGGGTTGTAGAGCAGTGGGTGAGTTTCCCCGGGCGTGCAGAGGTCAGGCTCGTGGCTCTCCATCCGTTAATCTGGTTAGTGAAAGCCTGTTTATGAGTCTCGTACTTTGTCCCCTCCCGCAGGCCAAGAAGCTGGTGGAGTCCCTCCCGCAGGAGATCAAGGCGAACGCCTCCAAGGAGGAAGCAGAGAAGATCAAAGCGGCGCTGGAGGCGGCAGGAGGGACTGTGGTTCTGGAGTAGGAGGCCCGGGTCGCACCGAGGAGGGACTGGTGTGACGGCAGAGCCTTCCCCGCTGCCACCACCCCGACCCGTGGCCGCTGCCGGGGCCGGGCTCGGGCTCCGGGACGTCTCCCGAAGTGCGGGACGTCCTTTAGTCGTGCGGTGGGAATGGAAAGCTCTCTCCAAACCCATTGGCTGCAAAAGAAATGCTGTACGGTTTTGGCGGGGCTGCTCACGAGTTCCGGCACCGCCACGAACTCTACCTTCATAAATATTGCTCCCCCCCTAAAAAAAAAAACAAAAAAAACACAAAAAAACCAACCTGTTAAATGGTTAAATCTCTCAAAACCCAATGTGCCTAAACCGTTGCCCCCCACACTGCTTGGTATCTCCCCCCCTCACACCCCCTTCCTCAAGCTGCTTTGGGTGCTGCCGCACCGAAAAGGGATGCTTTGACTTTCTCTCCTGTTAATTATTCACTGTTAATTAAGGGCGGAGGGGCCTTTCTCAGGCTGTGGAGCTGGAGGGGGGGGGGAATGGTGCTCTTGGAGCCTGGGGG